ATGGTTTCACAGGCTGGGCCCTGGGTCCATGTGCTGCGTGCAGTCTAGCGACTTGGTGTCCCGCATCCCAGCTGCTCCAGCCATGACTAAAAGGGGCCAAGGTACAGCTTAGGCTGTTGCTTCACAGGGTGCAAGCCCCAAGCCGTGGCAGCTTCCATATGGTGTTGAGATTGTGGGTGCACAGAAGTCAAGAACTGAGGTTTGGAAACCTTCGCCTAGATTTCAGAGGATGTACAGAAATTCCTGAATGTCAGGGAGAAGTTTGCAGCAGGGGTAGGGCTCTCATGGAGAACCTCTGCTAGGGCAGCGCAGAAGGGAAATGTGGGGTCGGAGTGCCCAGATAAGAGTCCCTACTGGGGCATCAACTAGTGGAGCTGTGAGAAAAGGGCCACCATCCTCCAGACCCCAGAACAATAGATCCACCAACAACTTGCACTGTGCACCTGGGAAAGCCACAGACACTCAACACCAGCCTATGAAAGCAGCCAAGAGGGAAGCTGTGCCCTGCAAAGCCACAGCGGCAGAGCTGCCCAAGACCATGGGAACCCACCTCTTGCATCAGTGTGACCTGGATGTGAGAAATGGAGTCAAAGGAGATCATTTTGGAGCTTTAAGATTTGACTGCTCCACTGTCATGTAAGTCCCACAAGATCTGATGGTTTTATAAGTGGGTTTATGAGGGGTTTCCCTTTTCACTTGGCTCTCATTCTCTCTTTGCCTGCTGCCATGTAAGACATGACTTTGCTCCTCCTTTGCCTTCTGCCATGATTGTGAGGCCACCCCAGATGCGCTGAACTGTGAGTCAATTAAACCTCTTTTCTTTATAAATTACTCACTCTCGGGTATGTCATTACTAGCAGCGTGAAAACTAACACAATGGGTAAATAATTGTCTTGTTTTTATTAATCTTTCTTAAATATGTGTATGGCTCATACTTATTTCAATGTTTAATATTAGAATGTCTGGGGTCTTTATTTGGAAGTTTAGTGATATTTTTTTGACCAGAAATGATCTCTAGGGATTTTATAAGTCTTATTTACATCAATTAGCATATGGTCAATTTGGTTTCATTATATATCATTTCACTTAAAGTTGCAGTTTCTAAGAACCTATAGATGACCGTAAGTGAGGGCTTGCTGTGTTGAACACAGTCGAAGCCAAGCAGAAGTATAGCATAGGTATTAATGATAATATTCTCCTATACTTTTCAATTTTCCAAGAAAAAGTTCTTAAAAAGTTAACCCCCCCTCACCTAAAAAAAAAATTACAGCAACAATAGAAAATGGAGATGCTACAGGGGTTCTCAAAGCCAGTGTCAAAGTCATGCTGCCTGAAACATCACCTGAAACTGACTAGAAATTCAAATTCTCTGAACCCACTTAGACCTGCTGAAATGGCAACTGGGAATGGCAGGGAGGGGGAGCTCAGGCAGCAGTCTCTGCGTATAATAAATCCAGCAGGTGATTCTGATGTGTGGTCAAGTTTTAGGAATAATGTCCTGGAAAAGCTTAATAATACAGAAAAGTCTGGCAAGTAAGATCAAGAAAAAAAAAGAATACCAAAGAATCATAACCGTCAATACAGAAGCAATGACACTTTAAAATCAATGAAAGAGCCATACATTTGTAAAAATCTATATAAAAACTAGTGTAAAGCGCATATTGCACTCACATATTTTAAAACAAGAGACAGTAAGCGTGCCAGAAAGCGTCACCAGATCTAATCTTTATATTTAACTTTCCCATCTTATAAAATGAATATACATACTGTTTTCATAAGAAAAATCACTTTAGTAAATACATAACAGACACTTCTGTTGCCTGACAACTTTTAACTGTTTTTAAAAGGATCCACTAAATACATCACTTAGATCTGGTAGTTTGATAGCTTTTAATGCCTATCCTGAGACAACAAAGTGCCAGCTTGTGTTGTCCAGGCTCAATCACAGATTAAGAAGCAATTCCCCCACAATACTTTAGCTTTGAAATCACCCATAAAAGAATAACTTTCAGTCATAACACAAAAATCAATTTAATTAATTATTTCTCTAAGCTAGGTGCATTTTAGGATAACTTGGCATAATTTTATGCTGTGGTAATTAACTTAAAATGAAGCCCTTAAGCCTCCTAATTTTTTTTCACTGCTCTAATAAATGGTGAAAGCTATGGTCTGTGGCTCAAATTGCCAGAGAACTGTATGTCATCACATGCAATATTATTACATTTATATCTCAATTATTCAATCCTGAATATTTTCCTGTTTCTTGTGCTGACAGTTAATAAGTTGCCATCACTTGCTCCCAAAGATAATTGTAACTTTTCCATCCTATGTTAACCAGTAAAAGTGACAGCAATCTTCTTCACAATACATTTTTACAGAACTAACTGATGCACTCGTGATTGTTTAAAAGGACTTCTTTCTTAGCTTCTGACATCAGAAAAATGTTGTATTTCATAACCTAATAAAATTATATCCAAGCTTTTTGCAACTATTTTGCTAAATTGTTCACCTGTATTTGTGCACATATACTTTTCAAATTATACAGAGAAAACAGCATCCCAATTTGAAAAATGAAGAATAAGCCCATGGTTAATTAATAACTAATGAAACCATGTCTACTTCCAGTTCAATACGATGTTTCCACCTAAGAACCCGTCAGCACAGCTGACTATTCTTCCACACGCTGGCAAACAGTTCAACATACACCTCTGGACACCACGTTGCTCATGTTGAGAGGTGAGCAAAACAAGGTCACATCATAAACATGTATTCTTCAATGGCGAATGTTCTTCCATGTCCACATTCCAAATGTCATTACAATTATTCTAGTAACTAGAAACATCCCGCTCCCAGAAATGACTGCTAATCCTGTGGGCAGCTAACCTGTCATCTTAAGCAACAATGGAGCACAATATTAATCACAGAGCCAGAATCCAAATGGCCTCTCCCAGTACAAGGAAAATTCACTGCAGGAAAGTGAGCTGTGCCCTGGAGACACAAGCAAGTATCAGGAGCAGTTATTAGAAAATCATGGTCCCTGAAGTTCAGAAAACAAATGAAATGTTATCCGGTTGACAAGTGAGGTGGCCTATCTGCCTAAGTTCTGTTTATATACAATATATGTATTTTCCTTCCTTTAATAACTACATCCTATCAAATAAAGTGCCTAATGCAGTAGGGCCACAGTTCCAAAAACCTATTACCAGAATGCAAGATACCAATTCTTATATATATTATATATAAGATCTTATATATATCTTATATTGTATATAAGAATATATCTATATTAGATATATAGATGTATAATATGTAGATATCTATCTTATATATCTAATATAGATATATAAATATATGGTATATAAGAATATATCTATACTAGATATATAAATATATAACATACATATATATTAGATATATCTAATACATATTATATCTAAATATATAATATATTCGAATATATATGATATATAAGTCTGTGTATATGTGATATAAAAATATATCAGAATGATTTAGGAAAACAAGGCTTATTATTTACATTTTAGCAATATTAATGGATCTGAGAAATTCTACCTAAAGAAATATGCAGGTTTTGTTTAGCCCAGTGTTTCCCCACAGTTGTGTACAGAGCACTTTTAGAAATGCAAGTCAGGGCCACATTGTATGAGAAGGTGAATGTGATGCTATAGAAAACTCTTATTGATGAGTCAGGGATCTTGGGTTCTGTTTTCAGGCCTGCCCTAACCTAAGCGTGGGCTTCAGTTTACCACTTGCTTGAGGTTCCCTCTACCTCTATAATTCACTTCTTTATAAGTGATTATATCACAAAAGAAATTGTACATATAAAGTTCTCACGAAGCCTTAAACATAAAGCTTAAGAACACAATAATTCTGCCCCTTGAAAATTATTCAAAACATTAATTTGCTGCTCATTCATTCTGTAAACTGTCAGGCATCTGAGCCCAAGCTAAGCCATTGTATCCCGTGTGACCTGCACATATAGGACCAGATGGCCAGAAGCAAGTGAAGAATCACAGAAGAAGTGAAAATGGCCTGTTCCTTCCTTAACTGATGACATTCCACCACAAAAGAAGTGAAAATGGCCGGTCCCTGCCTTAACTGATGACATTACCTTGTGAAATTCCTTCTCCTGGCTCATCCTGGCTCAAAAGCTCCCCCACTGAGCACCTTGTGACCCCCACCCCTGCCTGCCAGAGAACCACTCCCCTTTGACTGTAATTTTCTTTAACCTACTCAAATCTTATAAAACGGCCCAGGCGCCCCGCCCCCCCCCAATCTCCCTTTGCTGACTCTCTTTTCGGACTCAGCCCGCCTACACCCAGGTGATTAAAAAGCTTTATTGCTCACCCAAAGCCTGTTTGGTGGTCTCTTCACAGGGACATAAGTGAAATAAACTGTGCTTGTCAATTTTTTCCTCTAAAAAATACCATGTGGACAAGCATATCATGGTTTCAATGCGGTCCCGTCAGATTAAAATACGCCACTTTTAGAATTCACTGCATTTTTAAAACTTATATATTCCAATCATTTTGAATTTCAAAAAAGTGCCTAAACATCCTCTCATTTCTCTAGGACACTACAAGGACAATTAAAAGGAATTTACTACAAGATCTGGGTAACTAAAACTCCCATTACAAAAGATGAGCGCAAGGGTGTGTGGAGAAGAGAAATCCAGCAGGCTGAGCTAAGCAGCCCTGCCTAAGCCACAACGTGGAGGCAGAACACTGCTTTCTCACCAGCAACCTCTGCTATATCTCTGGACCTTAACATCCAAGAACTGAGAGCTCACCTCTCCCGGTCCCAGTAACAAACAGGTCATTATAAGAGAAGAGGCAGAAGTATCACAAAATTCTGGAAATTTAAAAGCGTGCTTTTAGTTCAAATATGACAAACATAAACAGGCCTTAAAATAAACAGATTGAACTCTGTCACACTACCAATTGTTGACACTGTGTGCTACACATCTGAATTTAGAAAAGTACCTCTTTTGATTTTTCCTCTTTGGTAAATCTTCCAAATTTTTCAATCATTTCTGCCACAAATATAACATCCATTTTGTCAGAGAAGTTGGCTGCTTCCACAGTGTAAGCCAGTAACTGTCGAGCTGTTGCCACGGCATTGGTAAGATTGAGAGGCATCTACATTTCAAAGGCAAAAATGATCAACAAAATGGTCATTAGCAAAATGATCAACACAATCCTGACATTTTAACTCTGCATTTCAAAACAGCAATGAATTAAATAACTTTATTATTTACTCATCATGGCCTTCTTAAAATGCTTTACAAATCTAAGAAAACTGCAATTTTAATGGAAACTCACTGGAGGGAAATTTTTTCAAGCTTGGAATGAAATACAATAATACATAAAAATACACGAGGTTAACATGTTGCACCATCTCTCTCTTCTCTGCCTATCCAAATTCTACACATACCTCAATCCCAATTGCTTAATAAAGCCTTTCCTGAGAATTCCTGCTGGGAGTGATCAGTACCTCCCCTTGGAACTCCTACTGCATAAGAGTCCCAACTACTTATTTGGCACTTACCTTTTTTTGCCATGCACTGCCAGTAATGTTTTACATTTGTTTATCTACTGACTCTAACACTGACTTAGCACCTAACATTGCAAAAGGATTTTTACCAGGTGCTAAGGGGCAAAAGAAAATACATTACACAAAAGCCATCTTCCACTTGCTTAGAGTCTGGTAAGGTTTAAAAAGATGCATAGAAGCAAAGATAACAAAAAGTACGTGAGTAGTTCAAGTATTCTAAGCGATTGCTTTCAACAAAGTGATTATAAAAGGAATCCAAAAGGTGAATTTCAATGTGAATTCGAAGGATGGTTAGGATTCTGTCTGGTGGATACAGGTTTAAAAAGATATTCAAACAAAGGCACAAAGGGAGACGGTGACTAGAAAGGAAGGATTCCGTAGAGGCCTTGACTAGTGGTTAAGACAGACCTGATCCTGAAGACAGTTAAGTCAACTAAAGTAAAAACACCAAATCCTTATGTTTTGCCTAGTATTTAAAAAAAAAAAAAAAAAAACCTTATGTATTTGGTGTGAATACCATGTTTTCTCCACAACCCAAGTAAACTTGAAGACTTTCTAGTTACCTGATTAAACATATAAAGAACTCTAGTGACATCATTTGCATATTGGCAGCGAGAATAATCATCATCTGCCCAAAAGCCACCTCTATCACATCTGCGCCAAGCTTTTCTCTCATCCTGTGGGTTGCCGGGATATATCCCACTGCCATGGGTGTTCCGCGTACACTGCAGATATGCAGTAATGCCCGCCAACGTTCTGGGCCATCTAGAGATGAAGACAAAATAGTACAAGAAACTCTAAATGACACAGGTACATCAAGAATAATAATAGCAGAGAAAAAAATCAAAGATGAGAACATGTCATGTCAATACAACCCTGACAAGGGTCATCAAAACTGGGCTGGGAGAAACCTTTGTTATTTGAGCTCTATGTCTCCAAGACTGAGAATGAAATTCAACATGTTTAATACAGGTTACCGTTGATGCTTATCACAGGAACCACTAAATTACAGTATTAGTCACACCAAAATAGAATACATTTCAAAAATCACATAAATATATCAAGCAACACTAAACTAAAACTTATTAATGCAGTGGGTATTTAATTGCATAGTATCCTAAGGAGTGTTAAAAGATAATTCATTGATCTATAAACATTTAATTGCTCTATTTTTTAAAATGTAAAGCAATCAAAACTACGAGAAAATAGAAAATCTACCATAAATAGTAAATATCATACTAGGATTATTTGATAAAAGATGTTAAATATAACAAAATTACCAAATATCATATATTTCACTTAAAAGCATGTATTCTAAATAATATTATAGATCAATACTTAATTTACATAAAAGACTTATCCATTGGCAATAATAAATGTTGATTTCCATATACTGATGTCAAGAATCATTTTTGTAAGAAGAGCAATGGCGAACTAGCTGAGACAAAGATGTTATTATTGCTTCTTTGCTTTGGATTTAAAAGATTAACACCAAAGGGTTTTCCCACCCTTGAAACACTGAGGTTACAGGCAGGAGGTGACAACTGAACCCATCACAGACAATGCAAACTGGGTAATAAACGATCTTTCTGCTGCTTCAAAGAATAACATATTTCCCTTTGTTTATATCAACTATAAACTCATTTTTTAAATCCCTGAACATAAATAAGATCAAGTAAATAAGATATTTAAAGATGTTTCAAAGCACCTTTGAAAGTAAAGAGAGTTTAAGGTAAAAGCTGTCGTCTCTTGCAAATCCTAAACTGTCTACTAAAATAAATAAATAAATAACTCCCTTTGCTTACATTAACAGAGCTCAACAAACCCCACCTGGGATTCCATGGCTCCCCAAATTTCAGGCTACCCAACAGCTTTCATTTCCCAAAGTCCTTCTTGCTTGATTTCCAGAAGAACTGAACAAGGGGAGAAAATCAGATATGTGTTTCTTCTAATTATGATGCCTACTGAACCACCAGTACTGAAAAGTACCTGAGCAATATAAAACCTTCCAAGGTTCATCTATAAAAGGGCCATTGCGGAGGGGGGAGGAGGGGAGAACACAGAAAATACCTTACTTAACGTGTTTGAATTTTGTACTCTTTTACCAGAATATCTCAAATGTTTCCCTAAGGCAATGGCTCTGATACAACAAAACCATTTGTTAAAAATGACTCTGCTTTCAGAGATTCTTAAATCAACAGGTCTGAGACAAAGTTCAAGCACACCTTTTGTTCCTCTCCATAAGTGACTCTGAAATCATTATTGTCAGGCCTCTGAGTCCAAGTCAGGCCATCGCATCCCCTGTGACTTGCACATACATGCCCAAATGGCCTGAAGTAACTGAAGAATCACAAAAGAAGTACGAATGCCTTAACTGATGACATTCCACCACAAAAGAAGTGAAAATGGCCGGTCCTTGCCTTAAGCGATGACATTACCTTGTGAAATTCCTTTTCCTGGCTCAATCTGGCTCAAAAAT